CTACAAGACTCCGTCTCTATCCTATCTCACTTCACCCACATTCTACAAGACTCCGTCTCTATCCTATCTCACTTCACCCACATTCTACAAGACTCCGTCTCTATCCTATCTCACTTCACCCACATTCTACAAGACTCCGTCAGATATATTTCACAATAACATGTCTGTAGTGTGACAAACAGACATTAAATACAACAGATTTATGATCGAATACATACTATATGGCCAAATTCCATACTATAATTTTTATGTATATTAAAGTATATTTTACTGTCATGCAGTGTATCATGGCCTACGGAAGAAACATGTCTAATTTACATACAAACATGTACATTAATATCGACATTTTCATATGATTAATTACCTTTATGGTTTGTCTTCTAAATGCAGTCTTTGAATTTTCAACAATGGCGGCTCTGTTCTCTGTCGTGAGGCCTTGTAACAATGTAAACATATCAAAACCGACAAACCGGCTTTAGACTTTATACCCGATACCTTTAAAGACAGCAGTATGACGTAAGTCTGCCGTGACATGACTTCAATACCAAGGTCTATGTTTAAGTGTTTAATTATTATTATTATTTTAATATTATAATTATTATTTTTATTATTTTACACATTTGTAAACTGTATACTAACATCCTACTTTTATTTACAAAAACAACACGATAACAATATTAATTACAAGAAACATCTTAAAACCTGCACGGGGCAAGGGGTTAAAGGTCACGAGAGTCAAGAACAGACACATGGACTGGGAAGTCATATATAGTTTTTCAAAACATTCATACGGAAACATCTATCGGCTATATTTCATTATTTCATGATCCCACATTCTACAAGACTCCATCTCTATCATATCTCACTGCTTCCACTTTCTACAAGACTCCATCTCTATCCTATCTCACTTCACCCACTTTCTACAAGACTCCGTCTCTATCCTATCTCACTTCACCCACATTCTACAAGACTCCGTCTCTATCCTATCTCACTTCACCCACATTCTACAAGACTCCGTCTCTATCCTATCTCACTTCACCCACATTCTACAAGACTCCGTCAGATATATTTCACAATAACATGTCTGTAGTGTGACAAACAGACATTAAATACAACAGATTTATGATCGAATACATACTATATGGCCAAATTCCATACTATAATTTTTATGTATATTAAAGTATATTTTACTGTCATGCAGTGTATCATGGCCTACGGAAGAAACATGTCTAATTTACATACAAACATGTACATTAATATCGACATTTTCATATGATTAATTACCTTTATGGTTTGTCTTCTAAATGCAGTCTTTGAATTTTCAACAATGGCGGCTCTGTTCTCTGTCGTGAGGCCTTGTAACAATGTAAACATATCAAAACCGACAAACCGGCTTTAGACTTTATACCCGATACCTTTAAAGACAGCAGTATGACGTAAGTCTGCCGTGACATGACTTCAATACCAAGGTCTATGTTTAAGTGTTTAATTATTATTATTATTTTAATATTATAATTATTATTTTTATTATTTTACACATTTGTAAACTGTATACTAACATCCTACTTTTATTTACAAAAACAACACGATAACAATATTAATTACAAGAAACATCTTAAAACCTGCACGGGGCAAGGGGTTAAAGGTCACGAGAGTCAAGAACAGACACATGGACTGGGAAGTCATATATAGTTTTTCAAAACATTCATACGGAAACATCTATCGGCTATATTTCATTATTTCATGATCCCACATTCTACAAGACTCCATCTCTATCATATCTCACTGCTTCCACTTTCTACAAGACTCCATCTCTATCCTATCTCACTTCACCCACTTTCTACAAGACTCCGTCTCTATCCTATCTCACTTCACCCACATTCTACAAGACTCCGTCTCTATCCTATCTCACTTCACCCACATTCTACAAGACTCCGTCTCTATCCTATCTCACTTCACCCACATTCTACAAGACTCCGTCAGATATATTTCACAATAACATGTCTGTAGTGTGACAAACAGACATTAAATACAACAGATTTATGATCGAATACATACTATATGGCCAAATTCCATACTATAATTTTTATGTATATTAAAGTATATTTTACTGTCATGCAGTGTATCATGGCCTACGGAAGAAACATGTCTAATTTACATACAAACATGTACATTAATATCGACATTTTCATATGATTAATTACCTTTATGGTTTGTCTTCTAAATGCAGTCTTTGAATTTTCAACAATGGCGGCTCTGTTCTCTGTCGTGAGGCCTTGTAACAATGTAAACATATCAAAACCGACAAACCGGCTTTAGACTTTATACCCGATACCTTTAAAGACAGCAGTATGACGTAAGTCTGCCGTGACATGACTTCAATACCAAGGTCTATGTTTAAGTGTTTAATTATTATTATTATTTTAATATTATAATTATTATTTTTATTATTTTACACATTTGTAAACTGTATACTAACATCCTACTTTTATTTACAAAAACAACACGATAACAATATTAATTACAAGAAACATCTTAAAACCTGCACGGGGCAAGGGGTTAAAGGTCACGAGAGTCAAGAACAGACACATGGACTGGGAAGTCATATATAGTTTTTCAAAACATTCATACGGAAACATCTATCGGCTATATTTCATTATTTCATGATCCCACATTCTACAAGACTCCATCTCTATCATATCTCACTGCTTCCACTTTCTACAAGACTCCATCTCTATCCTATCTCACTTCACCCACTTTCTACAAGACTCCGTCTCTATCCTATCTCACTTCACCCACATTCTACAAGACTCCGTCTCTATCCTATCTCACTTCACCCACATTCTACAAGACTCCGTCTCTACCCTATCTCACTTCACCCACATTCTACAAGACTCCGTCTCTATCATATCTCACTTCACCCACTTTCTACAAGACTCCATCTCTGTCATATCTCGCTTCTCTCACTATCTACAACACCGGGCCAGTCGACTCCATCTTTATCCCTTCCCCTCTCCAAAGATTTACAACACCGGAGCAGTCACTCCATCTTTATTCTATCCCTCTTATCTCTATCACACCACCTGATAAATAAAGGCAGTTTTGTTTAGAAAAATATGTCTCAGATGATCAATTACCTTTACGTTTTGTTTTCTAGATGCAGCCTTTGAATTGTCAGCAATGGTGGCCCAATCTGTTGTGACGTCTTGTTTAAATGTAAACATAAAAAAATCCCCTACCACACTATAAATAGGATAAAGTATATAGTTTTAGTTCAAGACTGTTTATTGAACCCGATACCTTAAAAAGCTGTAGTATCTTAAAATCTTCCGTGATAAAATTTCAATACAGGAACAATAAAACATTATCATATATCCTTTATTTCGGTCAGAATTGATATTCTGATATCAGACTTGTAATACATTTATCAAATATACATCAACTGTTTGTTATGATGAACGTATAAAAGCATATGATACAAGTTACAAGAAACAATTTCATGCCCTTTTGAATATTTGAACATAAGCATATACATAAGATTTGTAAGGTGACCCTAAGTTGGAAAATTAATTTTAATGACTCCACAAGGAACTCTTCTATATCGGAATAACATATAAGTCACGTGATAAGTTTCCTCCAATGAATGCATGAAATCAATGACTGAGGCGTGCAAATATATACTGGAACATCATGTCACTTATATTAATGATTTTACACCATAATTCGTTCCTTAATTCATCAGTCCAACTACACTTATGGCTACATCTTTATACATGTGACCACATTTATAACAAAATTCATTTTGAGACAACCATCTCACGGTAACAATTAATTTCATTATATAATCAACAGCTATTTTCAGAGAACTTTATACAAACTCTCCACAGCTGATGTGAAATTACCTTGTCTTGTATTAGAACACACCTTGAAAAGTCAACATTGTTGTACATCCTGTTTAACCATGCGTTTTCTTCATATCCAACCACTGGCTGCCTAATCTATATTCCCCAACGTGTGTTAAGCGGAAACCATCCAAGGTTTATATATTTCGAAGGCGATTCATATAAATGATACTTTCTCGGTACCTTAAGAGATCATACACAAAGCCACGCCTAAAATTATTTTCTGTGTCTGGATTAACAATAAAAGTATTGTAAATAATATACGAAAAGTTAAAAATATTTGGATGACAACCACAGCGAATTAAGCTCATTGCTCCTCTCTCAAGCCTGTTATACTCAAAAATGAGTTATATTGTCAACTTCCGGAAGGGGGCAAGTTCTCCGTGAAAAGATTACTGTGTCACCTTTTATTTAAGGAAAACTAATTCTCTGTTTTTTTACAGTGGAATTTGCCTAACGGTAACATATTCTAAAGCATAATGTTTAGTAGTCACTTAACATATGCCATGTCCCTTTCTTTGTTGAACAATATTTTGGAGATCGTTCTTGAATACTTTGCACATTTTCGTCGATGAGGTACTCCCCTTAAGAGTCTCCTCTCCATTCCGATCCATTTAGATTGAATGTCATTACCCGGAACACTACTTAATACGTATGTATAAATCCCTTATCAAAAGTGTCTACTGTTCTATAGTTACACATATATGTCATTGTCATGTGCTTCATGTGGTGTCGTTTGTACGGTGGTAAATGTATTGTTTGCATGGTTGCACAAGAGTGATGCGGTCTTGTCACTGGTTTGAAATGTGACAAGATGTGTATAATATCTGGTTGTATTGTTACATGATATGTTTGTTAACAAGAAGAAAAGTTTAACTCGTTGTTGTTACAAAAGTATGCTAAATGTATTTTTTTTAAATGTATATGATCATAGGTCATGTTATTTATTTTTCAGAGTGTGCATCACAGTGCGGGTACTTTAGGGTAATCTAATTATTACCTTGGTAAATATAGATATGTTACAGGTGCACGGGAAGTTTGAAAATTAAACACGAATCACACACCAATACATTAACTTTATATCAAATAGCAGTTGTTTCATTCTCTTCTATACTGTAGTAGCTTTACTTCTTTGGTGACAATTGTATCATCACCCAGCCCTACCCAAAGAAGTCCTCCGTCTACGCATAAAGTTTGTGGTCTGTTATTGGCGGTATACAACAAACGCAGGTATATACCTTCGCCATTCAAAAGATGGATACATGTATTGTTGTAGTCAGCAATCACCAGTTGGCCAAAAGAATCGTAGGTCAAGTCATAAGGGTCAAAAGGATATAACCCCTGCCTGCCGATGTGATGCGATCGTCCATATCGGTGCATCTCCTGCAGCTTGTTGTTCATCACTCTAACTAGTGGTTTGTCCTTCCCACCATCATCGGACCAATCCCCGTCCACAACGGCGACGTTGTTACTTACTGGACACTGTGACATCCTCCAGGGCGAACACACTTTTTCTCTGCCAAACAGAGATGTTTTCGTGGCATAGCTTTGTTCCCCGGTGCATGTGTACCCAGTGATCCGGTTTTTTGACCCCACAAGGATATGATTGTCTGTAGTAACTGTAAGACATAAGGGTGTGTTTTTGGTGCTGAATCTGCGAGTCAGACAATTATCTGATGTCAACTCCATGACACTGTTATCTTTGTTAGAGCATGCCCACAGATTACGTGTGGTAGGCGATACACATATAGCAGTTACACGAACACGACTCTGTATATATTGAAATATCTCTCCTTGATTTGTTAGGTCTGTGATAATATTACTGGAAATTCCACAAGTCCACGCCCCACCAACAGAGGGACAGATAGAACTGATGTTACACGGCGGCTCCCATTCTGAAACAACGTCGACTTGTGACGTCATACACTCAGGCTCGATATGCAAGTCCTCAACTGGTAATGTTGGTTCTTCTGTACTTTGAAATGAGTGTATGCTTCTTGATTCAAGTGACTCTTCATCGGGAATTTCTTGAGGATATGAGGTCAAGGTCATTTTTCCCAATTCAGCTTTTAGAGAGAGATTTTCGTCAGGTACAAATTTAGCGGTACCAAAAACAGGTTTTGTTGGTAAGCGGGTCATTGTAGGGAGTCTATAAGTGATGTCAAGCACTTGGATATCTGTTCCAGTCTGAAGAGACAGTTTACATTGTTCCACATACTCTTTTAGTTCTCCAAGTTTTGTTTCTAATTCTTCCATATAATCTGTGATGAGTTTGGTATTTTCATCTCTAAAATGTTTCAATTCAGAAAGTGTTTGAGCTATTGAAATGTCAACGTCTTGTTTCAGCCTCTTTCCTTGGTCTTCAACTTCTTTCTCTACACTTTCGAAATGGTGCAAGTATTTCTTCAAATCACCCTGAACTGACTCGATTTCCGACTGAATTTGAATCAAATCCTTTTTCTCCATTTCATTGATGAATGTTTTGATTTTATTTTTGTTACCTTGAGTAACCTCACTCAGCTGTACAATATCATGACCCTTGTGTAAAGTGGAAATACAATTTGCACATATAACCTCCGAACATTTCTCACAGAAAAAGTTCAAAGTGGTCCTTCTGTGATGTCCACACATCGTCCGTCCTTCTTCACGGACAAGTGTCTGTCCTTTAGGAAATGATAACGCCATTCCTTAAATCACAAAAGTGAAAAAACAACCACGCTGTCTTCTAGAATATATTCATCCATGTAGGGACTAACCCAGCCTTTCACATTTCTGCAGAAATAAACGTCCCTGAGAAGTAGAATTCGAAAGTATCTTCTCTCTGGCTTTGAGAAAAAAGGATGAATTTACCTCTTTTTTTCATATGGTTGTAAGATTCCGTAAGTCGTATACTTTGTCCGGTTTCTGCACTTCTCATCTTCGTTGGTGAAAATTCCGTAGTAAAATACTTTCCATTTGTAGTCATCTAAGGTATGTAATTAAACACTTCAAACTGTGGTAGTAAAACGTCTGTAGAATGACACAATATCTACTAATAGTTTTCTAAATTATTCGTTTTCATACTATGATTTCGTGTTTGATTAGTGTTTTGTGTTAACACACATAAACTCGTGTAATTCGAAGTTATGTCCCTTCTGTTGAAGTCGTCACATTAGATACCTTCCTATGTGGAATTCCTCTGCAGACACTTCAGAGTAAAGGTCCTGAAGTTTATGGTATGTTTCATTATCGAGGTCGACTGTCACTGATATCATTTGAACCTGCAAGTTAAAAAAATTCAAAGAAAATACAATAACCAAATGGCTAATTGCCAAACTTCCATTTAAGAAGAGATGGATTCATTTTACGACAATGAAATATATATACACACAGGCCACACAAATATCTATATATATATTAAATCAAAGTCCATATACCCACAGGCCAACCAGATGTATAAATATGTATTTAATTAGAGTACATATACAAACAGGCCAAGTAAATGAATATATAAGTGTTTAGTTAGAGTACATATATACACAGGCCACACAAATATCTATATACGTTTTAAATTAAAGTTCATATACCCACAGGTCAAGTTAATAAATATATAGATTTATCAAATCAGAGTTCATAACATACAGGCCAACCAAATGAATATATATGTATAAAATTAGAGTACATATACACAGGCCTAGCAAATGAATATATATGTATAAAGTAATAAACGTAGTTTATCTAACAGCTTTTGTATAATAAGATATATCAACTACTGTTTATCAGATCTATTTGACCTTGTCGATAAAAAACAAGTGTCTTACTGTGGGGAAAAGGTTTAGTAAAAACGGAAAACCCAGGTGGTTGACGTCTAATCGGATATCAGTCACTGAATGCTGATTATCATACCATCATTCATTCATATCTATTGAAATTTAATAGATGTACTGAAAGATTTTCTTTCGAGTGGCTAGCAATATACATTGTAGCTTTACATTCAGTAAAGGGAATCGAACTTTCGCTAACGCGCCTTGACTTTTACGACATAAACTAAACCAGATACAGTTTAGTAACAAAAATGAAAACGTACTCATACTTCTCATATGGGTACTGTATAATTTATACAACAAATCGTTTCATTCTAATCACAGCAGCACAGTCACAATGCAATCATCGACCTTCGGGGAACGTGTTAAAAACATTATCCTCAAGTAGTGGTCTGAATGACATCAACAAACAAAAATATTTGTTTCCATTTAAGTATATTGGATCAATCATAAATCATGTCCCAAAACTGTCGCCAGACTTCATCAAGCATCGTTGAATTGTCATATTTCAATTTGTTCGGCAATCATTCGGAAATCAGACATCAAATCCTCATAAATTAGCTTCAAACACATCTTCACATAACATGTACGCAAGGAAATCAGTTATTGATAATTCTAAAACTTCATGTATTTGCGGATTTCTGAAAACTCCCAGCGAAATATGTTGAATGATTTAGTGATAATCACACGTTTCCCGAGGTAGGTTCGTAACGCGACACCTATGTAGTTATATACTTGTAGAGTTGCTGTTACGATCAAAGGCCATATCTTCATAGAAAAAACTTTTCAATGTGGTCATCAACAGTAATTTCAATGTCGGTATATAGAAACCATACATACCTGTTATACATATCGACATATGCCTGAACAGATGAACGCTGCTAGTGTATGAACTTGCTCGTACATTCTGTGTTTAACATATATTATATTACCAAGGATGGCCCGGTTCAGTGAATTTACTGAAACTCTTTGCTAGACTGTTGCTTGGTATGAATCAAGAAGACATGGAATATCTGGGGAATTCCCCATTTTAAAGGTGGAGTGGAGACTGTTTCGGGTCAATAAACATTTTGTATGGTGTAAGATGTTGTGTGCTGTAATAAGACTGGTTGTAAATCCAACTTCAGATATTAATAGCTATGTGGAAATTTCAAGTGAAAGACCTGGCTATGATGGGATGGGCGTTTGAATTAATGACTACAACTATATACTCTCTGGCGTAACAATGATTTTTACTCTGACGTTATCACCTAATTATAAGCCGTTCATACAACTGTACAGTTCACAAGTGATTGTTTAAAAGACGACAAAATACCTTAATATCAATTAAGATACATAAGACCTATATAGTGAATAAATCGGTATTGTCTGGCTATTTCGTCCTTCTAGGACTCGTCAGTCTTTAGATACGTTAGACTTATATAGTGAATAAATCGGTATTGTCTGGCTATTTCGTCCTTCTAGGACTCGTCAGTCTTTAGATACGTTAGACTTATATAGTGAATAAATCTGTATTGTCTGGCTATTTCGTCCTTCTAGGACTCGTCAGTCTTTAGATACGTTAGACTTATATAGTGAATAAATCGGTATTGTCTGGCTATTTCGTCCTTCTAGGACTCGTCAGTCTTTAGATACATAAGACCTATATAGTGAATAAATCTGTATTGTCTGGCTATTTCGTCCTTCTAGGACTCGTCAGTCTTTAGATACGTTAGACTTATATAGTGAATAAATCGGTATTGTCTGGCTATTTCGTCCTTCTAGGACTCGTCAGTCTTTAGATACATAAGACCTATATAGTGAATAAATTTGTATTGTCTGGCTATTTCGTCCTTCTAGGACTCGTCAGTCTTTAGATACGTTAGACTTATATAGTGAATAAATCGGTATTGTCTGGCTATTTCGTCCTTCTAGGACTCGTCAGTCTTTATACATAAGACCTATATAGTGAATAAATTTGTATTGTCTGGCTATTTCGTCCTTCTAGGACTCGTCAGTCTTTAGATACGTTAGACTTATATAGTGAATAAATTTGTATTGTCTGGCTATTTCGTCCTTGTAGGACTCGTCAGTCTTTACATTTAGATACATAAGACCTATATAGTGAATAAATCGGTATTGTCTGGCTATTTCGTCCTTCTAGGACTCGTCAGTCTTTAGATACGTTAGACTTATATAGTGAATAAATCGGTATTGTCTGGCTATTTCGTCCTTCTAGGACTCGTCAGTCTTTAGATGCATTAGACTTATATAGTGAATAAATCTGTATTGTCTGGCTATTTCGTCCTTCTAGGACTCGTCAGTCTTTACATTTAGATACATAAGACCTATAGTAAATAAATCTGTATTGTCTGGCTATTTCGTCCTTCTAGGACTCGTCAGCCTTTAGATACGTTAGACTTATATAGTGAATAAATCTGTATTGTCTGGCTATTTCGTCCTTGTAGGACTCGTCAGTCTTTACATTTAGATACATAAGACCTATAGTAAATAAATCTGTATTGTCTGGCTATTTCGTCCTTCTAGGACTCGTCAGTCTTTACATTTAGATACATAAGACTTATATAGTGAATAAATCTGTATTATCTGGCTATTTCGTCCTTCTAGGACTCGTCAGTCTTTACATTTAGATACATAAGACCTATATAGTGAATAAATCTGTATTATCTGGCTATTTCGTCCTTCTAGGACTCGTCAGTCTCTAGATTTAGATACATAAGACTTATATAGTGAATAAATCTGTATTGTCTGGCTATTTCGTCCTTCTAGGACTCGTCAGTCTTTACATTTAGATACATAAGACCTATATAGTGAATAAATCTGTATTATCTGGCTATTTCGTCCTTCTAGGACTCGTCAGTCTCTAGATTTAGATACATAAGACTTATATAGTGAATAAATCTGTATTATCTGGCTATTTCGTCCTTCTAGGACTCGTCAGTCTCTAGATTTAGATACATAAGACCTATAGTAAATAAATCTGTATTGTCTGGCTATTTCGTCCTTCTAGGACTCGTCAGTCTTTACATTTAGATACATTAGACTTATATAGTAAATAAGTCTGTATTGTCTGGCTATTTCGTCCTTCTAGGACTCGTCAGTCTTTACATTTAGATACATTAGACCACCTACGGGAAGCACAGAAAGAACACTGAAAACTAAACGAAGGCAGGATTATAATTTCAAATTCAAAGTCGAAGTGGAGTGTAACGTAGACGAAATGTATGTGCACTGTCCTAGTAATCAAAATAATGGATGTAGAGGAAACACAATGAGTTAACAAAAGTAATTGTAGATATGAACAAGAGGCTCATAGGGCATGTATCGCTCGCATGGATATGAAAACCCAGCAATTGTATACATGCCTTCGGGTCAGGTGAGCTAAAAGCGGAAAAGCAGGTAGCCATAACAAGATTGTTGTATAACATATTTGATCAGGACATATACACAAACATGTACACAAAGCATTTCAAAAAAGGGATAGTCGTAATCAGAATACTCATGAATAACTACAGAGACATTACATCGACAACAGTGTTGGGAAGGCTTGTTGAGAACAAGATACATCAGTCAATTACGAAGTTCTGTTCTAAAATAAGATTTCCACACAAGTAGCGCCAAATAGTGCCGCAAAGTAGGAGCGCTACAGCTGCATTCATTGTGTAAGAAGCCATAACGCAATATCTTGAACGCAGCAAGATTGTCTTTGCAGCATTTTTGGACAATGTAAGTGTCTTCAATAGTGTCTGGATACCGGGTTCATTATACAAAGAATACCGATTAGGCACCAATGGAAACTTCTGAAGGATTATGAAAAAAATGTTTGATGGAGTGACAGAATGAGCACTATAAGATGGAGAAAGAGGATTACCGTATTGAGCA